CTGAGCACTTCAGCCAGTTAAAACAAATTTGGACTAGGTTTTTGTGCTCATGAAAAATGATGGTATGTGACCAGTGGGGAGGTGATAGCACCCGCAAACACCCATGTCATCAGTGCTCTGGAGAAGCAAATCATCTTCATCCTACATCCCGCCACCTGCTGCTAACTCCAGCTGAGCTATCTTCCCCAGCCTAGTTTTCTCTTTTTTCTTTTCCTTTTTTCTTTCTTTCTTTCTCTTGTGTGCTGGGGACTGATCACAGGAATGCCCTATCATTGAGTTATTATATATCCAGTTCTATTTAAAAAATATATTTTGAGACAGGGTCTTGTTAAATTGCTTGGGCTGACCCCCTGCCTCAGCCTCCCAAGTAGCCAGGACTGCAGGTGTATGTGCCACCACCCTGGCTTGACTTCTTGACATTTTAGTCTCAATAATGGCTGCATGATGAAGCCAGTATGCTGTTTGGTGAATTGGGACCCTGCATAGCCTGAGGCTGATCATTATTTATTCGACTTTCTAAAAGGCATGACAATAATGCCCTTGAAAGTGATTAATATTCCACCACTTGCCTTTTACTGCAATTTCAAACTGATCAACCACATGACATTTTAAACTTGACCTGATTAACCAAGGCTTTTCGGAAGGAAAATGAGCAACGAGATGACTATTGATTGGCAGATGGCTTATCCTCAGGGGACTGAAAAGGTGAGTTAGTGCTCCAGGGGCCATCGGGTCTGCAGAGGACAGATTCCCAGGTGGGAAGTAGGTGAGCCCGAAGGAAGCAGACACATCTGCCCTGGCATTGCAGCACACGTGATCCTGCGTCAGTGGTCAGAGAGCTTCTGTTTCACCAGATCTAAGCAGTGCTTGGCACATAGCGGGTGCCAATGGAAACGGTCGAATAAATGGAGGCCACCGCCGAGCCGATCTATGCCATGCAGATCATTCATTTGTCCACCCCCACCCCTCTGGCCTGCTCTTCAGGCAGCATTTATGTGCTTACTGTGTGTGAGGGGATAAACCCTGGGCTCCTGAGGCTTCCATGGCACATAAAACAACACCCCTGTGCAGTGTCATCTCGGTATCCCCGTGGACTGCTTAGAGGAGAGAGTGGCAGAAGGGCTTGAACACACATTACATTCTTGTTGCTATGCCTTAGACATAGTTTATTCCCCACTGTTCTGGGCTGGAAGCCTGGTCTGCAATGTGATCATGTTCAGGTGATGGTAACTAAGAGGTGGGGCCTGGCTGGTGGGGTGGGGTTTTATCTGTAATCCCAGCACTTTGGAGGCTGAGGTAGGAGGATCACAAGTTTGAGGTCAGCTTAGCGATTTAGCAAGACTGTCTCAAAAAAAAAAAAAAAAAAAAAAAAAAAAAAGGGCTGGGAATGAGCTCAGCTCAAAGGCCCTGGGTTCAATCCCCACTACTCCAAAAATGAAAACCAAAAAACACCCCACAAGTGGGGCCAAATGAAACACAATTAGGTCATAAGGGCTCCACCTTCATGAGTGGACTAGGGCTAGTCTCAAAGAATGGACTTAGTTCCTTCAAGAGTGGGTGGTTATAGTCCAGGGATATAGCTCAGTGGCTTAAGTGCCTGCCTAGCAACCACAAGATCCTGAGTTTGATTCCTAGTACTGCAAAAAAAAAAAAAAAAAAGTGGGTAGTTACATCTTCTAACAAAGCAGGCATGGCCCCTCCTGTCTCTTGCTTCCTGTCTTGCCGTGTGTTCACTTTCTCACAGGCACACCCCTGCCATATGGCCATCCACCATGAGGTTCTCTCTGGAAGCTCCAAACCTGGGAGCTAAATAAATTGCTTTTATTTATAAATTACCAGGCCCCACTCAGGTATTTTGTTATAGTACCATAAACTGGACCAAGACATTCATCTATGTTTACCACGCCAGACTCTGCCTTTGGTAAATCCTGGTTATGGCCTCATTGAGTACTTGGGCTGTGTGCATCCAAAGGAAATTTCCATTGTGGTGTAGGCATATGCCACAGAGCAGGACGCTGGATGAGCTTCAACCAATGACTTCATGGGAAATGGTTTTGTCCTGCTTGTTTCGTCCAATCTTGCCCATGCTGCCTCATACTATTTCACATTCTTTTTTGAGCAAGTGGGTGTTCCAAGGGTAGATGTGAAGGCCAGTGTCTGACTCAAGGCTGCAGTCGCTGGGTGGTAAGAACACTTCCACAGGTGTGGTAAGGCCAACTCTGGCCCCAGTGCTGTTTAAGGATAGCACTGCCCAGTAGATTCGTATCAGGAGCTGTTTCCACCTACTGCCTGGCCCCTCCAGTGTTCTCGGCTGCTTTTCAGAATTAGAACCCACCTCTCCTCTAGACAGCATTTCAAAGAAAATAATGTAAGTCCAGGGCCCAATAAACCCTTTGGAAGTACTTTCCCTTCAGAGAGAATCTCCCTAGAGTTGCCCAGGTGGGTCTCTATTCTACTGGATGCCCTGCAATTTGTAGGGATCATTTTTATTACTAGGTTTGGCTTCTGGTTTTGCTTTGCCTATGCTTAGCTATCTGGATTTTTTTAAAAATAAGTTTTTGCCTTTACACAGTGATTCTTGGTGCATACCTCTAATTTGGTGCCATTTAGGCCTTCACCTTTGCACACCATGTTTGCCATGTGCTTTTCAAGACCACTCCTGCGCCAGGTCACGACAGTGCACCATCTCTCCAGCCATAGTAGAACCACATCACTCTTCCCGGTTAGAGGGGCTGCACCTCCAGTTCCGGAGTGATACAGTAACTGGAAATGTCACCTGGATTTTGACTCATCCTCAGTGTTTGTGTGAAGGGGAAGGAACCCACCAGCAGGGCAACCAAGGCACAGAGAAGCCATCTCAGTAAGTCAAGAAACAAACTAGGAAAGGGCCAGATAAGATCACCTATGTATCTTCCAGTGCCTTGTATATATATTTTTAAAAAACCAGCTTGTCTTCTGAAATAAATACATACTTTGAATATGTGATTTTTGAAGGTGGAGCTTTCCATGAAGGTTTCAGAGCCCTTTAGCAGCTCAGGAATCACGATGTAAGAACCAGAATCACATTAACATTTTAGTTAAATACTCCTGACTCACAGACAGTACCAATTATAACAATTCACTGACAACCTGGTTACCAACAAGAAATGTGAAGGGGAACATTCACTCATCCATTCAAGATATAAACCCTGACACACTGCTCCTTCCCCGCTTCCACATTCTCTTAACTACACACCTAAATGCTGCTTCCTTCTACCATGCTCTTCCTACATCTGAGAGCATGTGATTAGGTACGGGTGGGAAAGGGGCTGGTAAAGTGTGTATGTGTGTCTGGAATGATTAGCCACGTTAAGGACAATTCCGCCCAGCAGAATATGCATGAAACATTCTAATGTAATTATTCTTCTACCCTGATTCCTTTTTTTTTTTTTTTTGTAATTTTTAAATTTCCTGACCTTGATTTAATGTAGTAAGTGAGGTTTTATTTCCCACCTTCCATGATGAAGGTAGGGTGGATGCAGCTGGGGTCAACTTCAGGGTCATGAAAGGAAGCATATGCCTTTACATTTTTATCTAAGAGATAAAACTGCCAGGTGACAAGTGAACTGTCTGAACCACAGGGTGGCCTGGCATTGCAAGTACTTCCCCACAGTGGCTCATTTTAATACACTACCCCATTCAATGTCTGAAATCCATATTCTCAGAAACAACTAGGCTAGCAGCAGTCTTCTGCCTCCCAGCTCCAGGTCCAGGGAAGGCACAAAGAAGACCAATAAATAATACTGCAGTGGTGCTTTGCATCCAGGAGACTTTGAGGTACTGGAAGAGGAGTTCTGATGGCCCCATCTGGCAGATGGGGAAAGTGAGGCACCAAGAGGCCAATGAAATACTCTGTCATAGGTCAAAGGCTACCAGGAATGTAGGGCAGAGACTCTCCTGGGAAGGGAAGTTAATCTCTCAGCAATGTTGAGCACGACTGTCAACGCAGAGGCAATCCTAGCTCTTCAGTCCCTACAGTAAAGTGGCCAAGGATGCACTACTAGTCCTCAGAGGCTAGGGAAGATTCCTTCACAGAGGGAATCATGCAGTCCCAACTCCAGGGCCCAACCTCGAGACTGCATCCCGAGCTGAGGACTTAGGCAAGAACTGCCTGTGCAGGCACAGAAGGTGGTCTGCTTCTTAAGGCATGGCTGCTGTCCACCAGGAGTGGTCCCTGGCCTGAGAGGTGGCCACTTCCCTGAAAACACCCTGTGAGGAAGCTGTATGGGTTGGGACGCTGCTGCCCCAGAAAACTTCCAATAAATCTAAACAGCGTCACCAAACCAACCCATTTCCTGTGCCACTTGGGAAAATGAGGAGAGGGGGAAAAAAGAGACAAATCAATCATTTTCTATAGTGATTGTCTAACTAGGAAACCTGGAGGGTTCAACTGAAAAACTTTGGGAACAGGAAAACTTGCTGAGATGACTGATTAATACTCAAACATACAAAAATGAATAGTTTGGGGGTTGTTTGTGCAAGGCCTGGTGCTTTGGAAGAGCTGTGCTTTTTTGGAAGGCCTCCAAACTCTGTGCAACTGTCATACTTTGAAAGATAGAGGTGACCAAAGGGACAGCTGCTGCATCCAGAAGTCCTCTCAAACACCGGTATCACAAGACTATCTGGGGTGCCAGGGGTGAAGACATCACCTCTGCTCTGTCCAAGGGGACCCCTTTTCCCCCAGCTACTCTCCACTCCAATCCAAAAGACATGTAGGGAGGTTTGGCAAGGACGGATATAAGCAAAGATTGTGCTGTGTCATCTCCAAATGAAGTGAATTTTTAAAAGCAAAGGGGCCGAGTGTAAAGGCCTACTCGTCTGTCCTCTCACTATCTCAGTGGTCAAAGTCCACAGTGCTGACCCCAGACTGGGAGATCCCCCGGTTTGGTTCAAGTGGCCGGGGGAAGCCTCACTGGCTGTGTGCCCCACGTCTGTGTTACGTCTGGAGGTACAGGGCGAAGTCACTTTCGGTCGAGGCTGGCGTGGAGCTGGGCCTCGCGCACCATGCGGTCGAAGGAGCGTGTGTTGGTCTCTTCCCGCACCTTCTCCCGGACATGGAAGGAGGCACGCGCTGTGGAGCGTGCGCTCTCCAGCGCGCTCCGCCGCTCCCGCGACAACTGCTCGCTGCGCTCCAGCTTGCGACCGATTGCCTGGAGCAGCTCCCGCCGCCGGCAGTCTTCGTCCCGCTCCACCTTCTCCTTGTTGGCGCGCTGTGCCCGCTCCTTCTCCAGCCGGGTCTGGCCCACGCGCCGGGCCTTCTGCTGCACCGCCTCTTCGGCCGCCTGCGCCGCGTGCTGCAGCCGTTGTTCGCCGGCCCGTGCCAGCGCCTCCAGGCGTGCCCGATGCTCCCGCTCTTTGCGCTCCACGGCCTCCTTGGCCCGCCGACCCTGCAGCTCCTCCCGCCGGGCCCGCTCCCGCAGCTCCCGGGTGCGCTGCTCCACCAGCTGCTCGTAGTTCTCCTGCGCGCGGCCCAGGCTGGCCTCCAGCGAGCTCCGCAGGCCCTCGCGCTCCTGCTGCTGCCGCTGCGCTCGGCCCCGCAGCAGCGCCTCGTGGCGCGCCCGCTCGGCCCGGCTCAGCTCGCGCTTCTCGCGCTGCTGCTGGCCTTCCTGGCGCTGCCGGGCGCGGGCGGCGCGCTGGGCGCGCTCCCTGCGCTCCTGCTCGGCGCGCTCGCGCCCCTCCTGTAGGCCCTCCTCCCGCTGCCTCAGGTTCCGCTCCTGCTGCAGCTTGCGCTGCCGGTCCTCGCGGGCCACGCGCTCCGCTCGCTCCCGCCGCAGCAG